GGCTCAGGCAATTCACTCACCTCAGCCTCCCAAAGGCGCAGGATTACAGGCTGAGCCACCGAGCCCGGCTGATCTTGTCTTTTTAGATGTTCCCTGTATGAGTCAGAGTTCTCCAGAGAAACTGAACCAATTGGATGTGTGTGTGTATACAGTCTTGCACCTAATGTTAATGATGGGAATATGTTTTGAGACATATGTTGTTAGGTGATTTTGTTGTTGTGTGAACATCATACAGTGCACTTAAGCAAACCCAAGTGGAATAACTTCCTACACAACTAGGCTATATGGTATAGCCTATTGCTCCCAGGCTACAAACCTTTATAGCACATGGCTGTACTGAATACTGTAGGCAACTATAACACACTGGTATGTATCTGTGTATCTAAACTTGACTAAACATAAAAAAGTATGAAAAAATGCAGTATTATAATCTTACAGGACCACTATTGTATTTGTAGTCCATTGTTGACTGAAATGTTTTTTGCAGTGCATGGCTATATACAGCAGAGGAGAGAGAGAGAGATACTTATTATTATTATTTTTTTTTTGAGTTGGAGTCTCACTCTGTCGCCCACACTGGAGTACAGTAGCCGCTCCCGGCCATCGCAGCCTTGACCTGCTGGGCTCCGGCGATCCTTCCGCCTCAGCCTTCCGAGTAGCTGGAACTACAGGCGGGCGCTACCACACCCGGGTAATTTTTTGATTTATTGTAGAGATGAGGTCTTGCCAAGTTGCCCAGGCGGGTCTCGAACCCACAGGCTCAGGCAATCCACTCACCTCAGCCTCCCAAAGGCGTGGGATAACAGGCTGAGCCACCAAGCCCGGCTAAGAGATACTTATTACAAAAAATTGGCTCACACGATTATGGAGGTTGAGAAGTCCCAAGATCTGTAGGGTGAATTGGCAAGCTAGAGATCCAGGAGAACTGATGGTATAATTCCAGTCTGAGTCCAAAGGTCTGAGAAGCATGAAAATTGATGGTATAATTTCAGTCTGAAGGCTGATAGGCTCAAGATCCAGGAAGAGCTGATGTTTCAGTTAGAATTAGAAGGCAGGAACAGACAAACAAACACACAAAAACTAATGTTACAGTTTAAAGGCAGATAGGCAGACTTTGGATAAGGGTCAGCATTTTTGGTTCTATTCAGGCCTTCAAGTGATTGGATGAGGCCCACCCCAAACTATGAAGGGCAATCTGCTTTACTCAGTCTATAGATTTATTTTATTTATTTATTTTTTTGAATTGGAGTCTCACTCTGTCACCCAGACTGGAGTGCAGTGGCCGCTCCCGGCCAGCGCAG